ATTGATGAGGTGTAAATTTAGAACGCATCCGAAGATAAACTTTTTCTTTTCATTTAAGAGCTCTCATGCCAAAAAAGTTTTGACGTTGGCTCCGCCCAAATTTGTGAAACAAATATATGCCTGAAGTTCGCGTGACATGCGACCAAATTCGTTTTAGCGGAATAACTCTAAAACTAAAGGGATTAAAAAAATCCGTAGTGACAGTTGTCGCTCATGCATACATATAATTAATTATCTAATTTTTGTCCAATAACCTGTAGCATTTCGAGAATGAATCGAAAAAATGTGAAAATTAGAGGTCATTTCGTGATTTTTATCTATCGAGGAAACTTTATTGTTTTGTGTTTCTGATTAATGTCTATACTTGAATATATCGTGTAGTTACTCATACAATATTTTATTTTTAACTTTAAAGTGATTATTCCCCTCTAAAACAAATCGAAGATTAGGAATTTTTCCTCTGCTCCCTCTTAAGGTTCAACTGTTTTTCTTTCATCTACCGTTTCCCTCGCTATTGTGAGGAGAGTAGTAGTGTTTTGCTCGGCAGTAAAGTTGTTTTGCGTCTCGTGCCTTGAAACCCTCGCTACGCTCAGGAATCTATCTTAGCTTCCTTCGCTTGTTCAGGTTTCAATACATGTAGGTACTCGCGGCAAACAACAACTTTGCAGTATTTCTATATTCCCTCGGGTTTGAGTGTTTGTGGTAGGTATTTGTTGTTCACAAGTAATAATAATATAATAATAACGCGCAAACACTCATTGCCCCGCACTAGGGAAACCCTGTATCGCGGGAGCCGTGGACATACACATAGACAACCACAAATTACACAAGAACTCACGAGAGAAATAAATGTAGATCATAGAAATATTTCTCTCGATTCCGGGATCTCTGCATGGTAACCGTTCGGCCACGGAGGCAGCTAATGGTTACAGTTTAAGCTTTTCAAGAAGTACCTGGATACCGGGAATACCGGTGAAATATTGACCGGGAATCAAAATTTTAGGAACCTGACCAGTTCGGCATGCCCTAATCATTACATTTTACTTACCTGGTGAAAATGAAACTAAAAAGAATTAAGTTCCTTTGACTTAAGTCTTATTAGTTTAAATAACAAAAAAAAAATTTCAGTGCAATAGTGACTTATGACGACTACATAAAAGTAATTTTTAATTTTAATTTTGTCAAAAATTAAAATAATCAGAAACCATTTTTGAGGTCATCTGAATGTTGCATCATTATTTTCCAGGACTAACAAGATCAGTAACCTAAAATAAAACTAATGTGAAAATGTCATGGGTAAATTCAAATCTTATTTTGGGTATTTCTAAAAAGTCGGAATTTTGTGTTAGTTCACTGTCATTCTAAAAGTGTGACGTATTCGAAGCAATTAGGACCGTTTCCACACGCTCCTACTGAGTGCTTCCTCTGGTAGGAGCACGCGGACCAATGTGTCCTTTTGCTTTGATCGTGACGTTGTATCTAATAAGTACACTCAAGTAAAATAAAAAATATATTTAATGCAAATAGGTTTAGGTTTCTCGAGTCTGGGAATGAATATTTCAATCTAAAATTGTGCTAATATTTCAATCTAATTCACGTTTCACTAAACATGAACGTAACCAGTGAATTAGGCGAAAGGTCCGAACCGTTTTTTATATACAAATAACGGCACATTTAACGGAACACTAGTAGAAACCCCATAATGATGCAGTGTTTTTTCAAAAGTCTGGATGGTTAATTATTTTTTTATTTCTTTAGTCGAATTTGGTAGTGAGTATTTTTTCCTCCATTACACCACGTGATTGGATGAACATGTCGTGCGCCTGGTGATAAGCAAAACGTCTGTCCATAGCAGTTACAGTGATACTCTGTAACCTGGGTTCCCTACCTTTCCCTAATAAGGGTGAAAATAAAAG